GGTACATTCTGTCACTCCTCTGTCCCCCCAGGTTCCAGGCAGATGGGGGGTACATTTCTATCACTCCTCTGTCCCCCCAGGTTCCAAGCAGCCGGGGGGTACGTGCTGTACCCCAAATGTCCCTCCTGTGTCCCCCCCAGGTTCCAGGCAGCGGGTGGGTACATCCTGTCACCCCAATGTCACTCCTGTCCCCCCAGGTTCCAGGCAGCGGGGGGTACATTTTATACCCACCATGGTACCCCATTGTGCCCCCCAGGTTCCAGGCAGATGGTGGGTACATCCTATCACCCCAATGTCACCCCTCTGTCCCCCCCCAGGTTCCAGGCAGACGGGGGGTACGTGCTGTACCCCAAATGTCACTCCTCTGTCCCCCCCAGGTTCCAAGCAGCCGGGGGGTACATTCTGTCCCCTCAATGTCCCCCCCAGGTTCCAGGCAGCGGGGGGTACGTGCTGTACCCGCAGATCGGGGACCGGCTGGACCTGGTGTGCCCGGGGGGGGCAGGGTACGAGTACTACAAGCTGTACCTGGTGGGGGGGGCCCAGGCCCGGCGCTGCCAGGTGCCCCCCGCCCCCACCCTGCTGCTCACCTGCGACCGCCCCCAGCGCGACGTCCGCTTCACCATCAAGTTCCAGGAGTTCAGCCCCAACCTCTGGGGCCACGAGTTCCGCCGCCTGCACGACTATTACATCATCAGTGAGCCGTGACGTCATCGGGGGGAGGGGCCGAGGGGAGGAGGGGATGGACACAGCCCGAGGGGGTGGAGGGGGTGGGAGGGGGGTGGGAGTGTTGTGGGGGAGACCCCTGTGATGTCAGCGGTGCTTGGAGGTGATGATGTCATCGAGGGGAGGGGTGATGTCGTTGGAGGGGTGATGTCATCAGGGGGGTGATGTCATCAGAAGGGGGTGATGTCATCAGGGGGTGATGTCGTTGGAAGGGGTGATGTCATTGGAAGGGGTGATGTCATCAGAAGGGGTGATGTCATCAGAAAGGGGTGATGTCATTGAAGGGGTGATGTCATCAGGGGTGATGTCATCGGAAGGAGGTGATGTCATCAGAAGGGGTGATGTCATCAGAAGGGGGTGATGTCATCAGAAAGGGGTGATGTCATTGAAGGGGTGATGTCATCAGAAGGGGTGATGTCATCAGAGGGTGATGTCATTGGAGGGGGTGATGTCATTGGAAGGGTGGTGATGTCATCAGAAGGGGGTGATGTCATTGGGCAGGGGTGATGTCATCGGGGGGGTGATGTCATCAGAAGGGGGTGATGTCATTGGGAGAGGGGTGATGTCATCACAAGGGGGGTGACATCGTCGGGGAGAGGCCGAGGGGGTTGTCGGGGTGAGGGTGTGGGGAGGGGATGATGGGGGGTTATTTTGGAGGGGGAATGTTGTGACTGTTTTGGGGGCATCGGGAGGGCCCTGTGATGTCATCCAGACAAATGACGTCATCAGGGGAGTGATGATGTCACTGGGGAGGGTGGTGACGTCACCAGAGGAGTGCTGAGGAGGTCCTCGGGGTGACAGAAGCATGAGGGTTGTTGGGGTATCCAGGAGGCCCCAGTGATGTCATCAGGGCGTCCCGTGTGACGTCACCACCCCCGTGACATCATCAAAAGCAGCAGTGATGTCATGAGGGAGGTGCCAGAGGGCAGTGACATCATCAGGGTTGCATCACAGGGAGGTGACAGCTCTGTGATGATGTCATCAAAGTCCCTGTGATGTCATCGCCCTGTCATGTGACAGGAGGGCTGTGACGTCACCGGGGCAAGCGATGACGTCACTGGGGGTTGTCATCAGGGTGTGACATCACAGGGGTGGGTGATGACATCACCAGGGGGTGTGACGTCACTGGGTGGATGTGTGACGGTGATGACATCATCGCTGACGTCACGCCCTGCCCTCCCCTCCCCCCGCAGCGACGTCGGACGGGACCCCCGAGGGGCTGGAGAACCGGCAGGGCGGGGCCTGCTTGACCCGGGCCATGAGGGTCACCCTGCGCGTGGGGCAGCGTGAGTGCCCCTCCCCCACCCCGCCCCTCCCCCACCCTGACCCTGCCCCCACCCCGCTCACCCCTCCCCACCCCCAGGCCCTGGGCGGAGCCTCTCCCGGACCAGGATGGGACAGAGTAAGGAAGGGTGGGAGGAGGGAGCAGAGAGGCCTCCCCGACCTGAGGCCCCCGCGACCCCTCCCCCTCCCCAGGCTCAGCCAATCAGACGAGGCCCGCCGGGGCCGGGCCCTTCCCCACGCGGGGGGCGGTGCTGGGGGCGCAGAGGAGAGGCGGCGCTGCTGGCGCTGAGTGGGGCAGGGGGCCCTGTGGTGGCGGCGGCGACGCCCGGAGACCCAAAAACCCCCGAGGGGAGGGGCCCGGCCCCGCCCCACGGCCCCGGCCCCGCCCACCCCTGCAGGACCTGCCCCTCCCCGCCGCCCCTCCCCCGCCTACTACAAGGTATGAGAGGGGAAAAGGGGCGGGACCCCCCCAAAAAATTGGAGGGACACACCCCCTTTGGAGGCTCCGCCCCCTCGAGGCGAAGTGGAAGGGGGGGACACCCCAAAAAAGGGACTTTTCCCCCCCCCCCAAAATGATGCCCCGGAGCCCCCGGGAGGGAATGGGGGAAACCCCGGATAGTGGTGGGCGTGGCCTGAAAAGGGGCGTGGTCTAGCCGAGGATGTGGCCTCTGTCGATGGGCGTGGCCTGTGCCGGAGGGCGTGGCCTGTACCAAGGTAGCTGCTGCACTGGGGGCGTGGCCTGGCACTGAGGGCGTGGCCTGGCACTGAGGGCGTGGCCTGTGCTGTGGGCGTGGTTTCACCCGGGGAGGCGGAGCTTCCGAGGCTTTGAGGCGTCACCCCTGGGGCTGTGGGCGGGGCTTGGGGCCCCCTCTGCCCTCCCATTGGCCACCAGAAAGCCCCACCCACTCATTGGGGGCGGGGACCTCATCAAGCCACGCCCACCAGGACAGAGGGGGCGTGGCTTTCTCCTCACAGCAAGATGGCCGCCGCCGCCTGGATGGGCAGGAAGTGACGTCACATCGACGGAAGGGCGGGGCTTCTTATGTGTGGGCGGGGCCTGAGCGCTGATTAGACAGTTCTTGTGCATTTGGCTCCGCCCCTTCCTGTCAATCAAACGAGTGGGCGGGGCTTTGGGAGGGGGATATTTGGCACCCCCTGGTGGCCTGGGCGGGACAAAGGGGGGGGGTGTTGCCATGGAGACACTGGGGGTGTTGCCATGGGGAGTTACCATGGAACACTGGGGGCGTGGCCATATGGGGTGTTGCCATGGAAACCTGGGGGCGTGGCCATGGAGAGCATGTGGGGGCGTGGCCATGGGGGTGTTACCATGGAAACCTGGGGGTGTTGCCATGGAAACCTGGGGGCGTGGCCATTGATACATTGGGGCGTGGCCATGGAGACCTTGGGGGCGTGGCCATGCAGACGAAGCAGGAGGCGCCCCCTGGCGGCCCATGGGAACCGATGGGGGAGGGGAGGGGCTTTGGGGGGAGGGGTCACACGGGGTCACCACCTGAGGTGTGACAGCGTCACCCGTGGTGTGGGGGCAGCTTGGATTGGCGGGGACACACCTGGCACAGGTGTGACACTCATCACACTGGCACATCTGGCACACCTGTGACACTCATCACCTGGCACACCTGTCCCACTATCACACCTGGCACACCTGGCACACCTGTGACACTCATCACACCTGGCACACCCATCACATCTGGCACACCTGTGACACTCATCACCTGTCACACCTGGCACAGCCATCACACCTGGCACACCTGGCACACTGGCACATCTGGAACACCTGGCACACCTGTGGCACTCATCACAGCTGGCACACTGTCACATCTGGCACACCTGGCACACCTGTGACACTCATCACCTGTCACACCTGGCACACCTGTGACACTCATCACATCTGGCACACTGTCACATCTGGCACACCTGGCACACCTGTGGCACTCATCACAGCTGGCACACTGTCACACCTGGCACCCCTGGCACACCTGTGACACTCATCACAGCTGGCACACTGTCACATCTGGCACACCTGGCACACCTGTGACACTCATCACCTGTCACCCCTGGCACACCTGTGACACTCATCACAGCTGGCACACTGGCACACCTGGCACACCTGGCACACCTGTGACACTCATCACCTGTCACCCCTGGCACACCTGTGACACTCATCACCTGTCACACCTGGCACATCTGGCACCCCTGGCACACCTGAGACACTCATCACCTGCCCCACCTGTCCCACACCTGCCACCCCCCCTACGCCCCCCTCATTTGAGCCCCAAATTTTTAGTCCCTTAAACCTGGTTTTTAGGGCCAAAAGCCCCTCTGTGGGGTCTAAACCCTCTCTTTTAAGTTGAATTTTTAGGGCCCGATCTCCCTTTCTTTTAATGTCCAAAGACACATTTTTAGGGTCGACCCCCTATTTTTAGGACAAATCACCTCATTTTTAGGGCCCAAATCTTCTTTTTAGGGTCCAAATCCTCATTGTAAGGACCATTCCCCCATTTTTAGGGGTAGAAAACCTCGTTTTTAAGGTCAATCCCCGTTACAAGGACCAAACTCCTCCTTTTGGGAACCCAAATCCTCTTTGTGGGGGCAAAATTCTTAATCCTATGCCCAAACTCCTCATTTCAGCACCCAAACCCTCATTTTTAGGCCTGAAATCTTAATTTTACAGCCCAAAGCCTCATTTATAAGCCCCAAAATCTCGCATTTGGACCACACCCTTCATTTTTAGCCCCAAACCCTTCATTTTTAGCCTCAAACCCTTCATTTTTAGCCCCAAACCCTTCATTTTCAGGGCCCAAATCCTCTTTTCCGTGGCCCAAACCCTCATTTTTCGGGCCCAAAATCCTCTTTTCCAGGCCCCAAAATTCCATTTCCCAGCTCAAAACCTTCATTTTTTGGGACCAAACCCCTCCCATTTTTGTAACCCCCTCCCACCTTTTTTGGGTCCAAATCCCCCCTTTTTGAGGCCCCAACGCCCCCCCCACCGTTTCCATGGCAACGGGCGGGGCACGCCCTGCCGTGACGTCACGGGGACGGCGGCCAATCAGAGCGTGGCTCGGCGGTTGTTGCTGGGGGGGTCACGTGGGGGGCGTCGCGCGTGCAGGGGGGGTCACGTGACCTCGGGCCAAGATTTAGGGGGGGATTTGGGGAGGGGGCAGAATTTTGGGAGGGTGTCCTCGTGCGAGGGTCACGTGACCAGTCGGGCAAAACCTGGGGCGCCCCCTCGTGCGAGGGGACCCAAAGTGACACCCCACCCCCCATCCCCCGAGACCCCAGGAGGTCCCCAGTGACCCCGGACACCCCAGTGACCCCTGGGTGACCCCAGGGACCCTGGAGACCCCCGCAGACCCCCAATGATCCCCAGAGTGACCCCAGTGACCCCCATCCCCCTCCTCCAAAGGCCTCGTGCAAGGCCCGGAACACGAGGGGAAGGGAGGGTTGTTGTCAAAGCCCCTCCCCTGATTAAAACCCCCGTGCAACGCCCCTCCCCCGGCCTCGTGCAAGCGCCAGACCACGCCCCCTCCCCTCCCCTTGCACGCGTGTGTCAAACCCTCCCCTCCCGAGACACGCGAGGACACGGGTTAAAAATAGCCCCCGTCGCGCCCCTCCCCCACCCGGACGGGGCCTCCCGGGGGGCGGGGCCTCCCCGTCAATGCCACGCCCCCCGGAAGAAGGGGGCGGGGCGGGCCCTGCGGGCGCACGTGCGGCCCCGCGCGGGGAGGAGGGGGCGGGGCCTGGCGGAGCTGCCGCGCTCCCATTGGCCGGTGCTGGGACGGGGGCTCCTGCCATTGGCTGCGGAGAGGGGGTGGCCACGCCCCACCCGCGGGGCCGGGGCGCCCCCTGCTGGGGGCCGGTGAGTGGTTAAACTGGTCCCAGTGACGGATCAAACTGGTCCCAGTGACGGGTCAAACTGGTCCCGATCTACCCTGGACCCAGTGGGATTCTATACTGGTCCCAGTGCTTCCCAGTCCAAATTTATACTGGTCCCAGTGTCTTCCAGTGCTCTCCCATCCCATCCCAGTCCACCCCAACCCATCCCAGTCCTGTCCCAGTCCATCCCAGTGCTGCCCCAGTCCCCTCCCATCCCACCCTGTCCAGCCCAGTGCCCCACACTCCTGTCCCAGTCCCCTTCCCTTCCATCCCAGTCTATCCCAGCCCATCCCACCTCTGTCATCCCCAGTCCTCCCCAGTCGCCCCCATTCTTTCCCAGTCCCCCCAATCCTTCTCATCCCCTCCCAGTCCCCCCCAGTCCCCCCAGTCCCTTCTCCTCCGCCGCGGTGGGCGTGGCCTGTCCCTGAGTGGGCGTGTCCTCCCCTCCATGTGGGCGTGTCCAACTTGTCCCCACTTCACGGGGGTGGCCAAGGATAAACCCCGCCCCCGTGGGCGTGGCCTCCCCTCCGTGGGCGTGGCCTCCCCCTCCCGTGGGCGGGCCGGAGGGGCGTGTCGTTGCCTCGGTGGGCGTGTCCCGGCGGGTGGGGGGCGTGTCCGGGGGCGTGTCCGGGGCAGGCGGGGCGCGCGGCGCTCGGTCCTTTGTTTGAGCGAGGCCGGAGCCGCCGGAGCCGCCGCAGCGCCGGGGCCGGGCCAGGACCCCAGGACCCCAGGACCCCCGCACCGGCACCCCCGACACCCCCGGCGACCCCGCACGCCCCGGGCACCGCCAGCGCCGCAGGTACCGCGCGAGGAGCGGCGGGGGCAGCGCGGGGAGCGGCAGGGGCAGCGCGGCCGGAGCAGCCGGGCCGCGGCCTTTGGGGGGGCGGGAGGAGGAGGAGGGAGGGAGCGAGGAGAGGGTGTGAGGGATTGGGGAGGGTCGGGGAGTGTCAGGTGAGGGAGTGCGGGGCGGGGGTGCTGGGGTGGGGGGTGGGGCTGAGGGGGTTTGGGGGTCTGGAGGCGTGAGGGGAAACTGAGGTGAGGGGGCGGGGGTCGGGGCTGAGGGAGTGGGGGTCTGAGGTGCGTGAGGGGAAACTGAGGTAAAATGGGGGTCTGATCTGAGTGAATTGGGGGTAGATCTGAGGTGAGGGGGTCTGAGGTGCGTGAGGGAAACTGAGGTAAAATGGGGGCTTGATCTGAGGTGAATTGGGGGTCAGATCTGAGGTG